CACTTGTGCACTTGACCACATGCATTTTCAGGCACCATTAACTCCGTTCTCAAAAGCGTTATCTAAGGACTGTGCTGTTTGAAACATAATTATCACATTTTGTACGGTTAAATGATCTTTTATCGAAAGCTTAAACAAACGCAATGTGTAACAAGTTCTGATAGCTCTTGGACGTTTGTTCCAAAGCTTTGAGCAGTGTATTAAAAAGAAACGCTCCCTAATTCGCGTATTGAACTTTGGAATCATGACCGTTGTCTCCTTATTTCGTAGCTCGTATCTAGTGTTAACGGACATATGGACACAGTTAGCATAATTGTGCATGTGATGGTGAATTATTCTGTACAGGGAACACAAGTTCATCTTCATTATCCGTAGCCAAAGTGGGTCAAGTCCAAGTTTTTCACTGCGCTCTCTGTAGATCATCTTGGAGGAATATCCGCACAGCTTCTTTGTAAAGCGTCGCTGTACCCTCTCAAGAGCATGCTGGTCAGATTTCCGCAGATTCGACTGTAGTAGTGAGCAGTATTCCATGCCAGGTAACATATATGTTTTGTAAAGCCAGATACGAGATTCTGTGAGTTGAAATCTATGACAGATATAGCCAATAGTCTTCATGGCTTTCGAAACTTGGAAGTCACAATGTTCCGAAAAGTTGAAGGTAGTGGAATACCGCACACCCAAGTCGCAAATCACTTTGCACTGTGATATAAACGTGCCTTGTAATAATAGACTGCCTGGTGGAACTTCGCATTTGTACGACAGAATATTACACTTGTCCACGGAAAAGGACATCTGCCACAGTTTGCACCAGGATTCAAGTGCCGACAGATCTTCCCGAATGTGGCACAAGGCTGCGCGGGTATCTGCACTCTTTGTGAGTAGGGGAATCTTCGATTGATAATACAAGCTACATGGATAGAGTTTCCACACTATGTACACGTAAAATTAGCGCCAAAAATGGTTACATAAGTGATGGATTATTTGCTTTGAGGCCACATCCGAACACGGCCAAAGGAGAAGTGGAAATGCGGGTGAAACCCATCGAGGAAGTATTCCGCATCGAAGCAGGTATCCAGGAGACGGTCGTATTACTTCACTTGTACCTTTGGATTTATCTGCATTTATTATTTTTGACGTCACAGGCTTCACGAAAGATTCACCCGATTAATTAGTCATGCGCACCAAAAATAGTTAAACTGCTGCGAAAAACTCGAAAAATCATCTGATCCATGCGATTCCGCCGTACACAATCATAGTGCCATCCAGTTGGAATTTACCTCGCACCGTCGAAGAATTTATTATTTATTTGTTTGTGCATTCAGTAATTCGCCACAACTTCCTATCACTTCTGCAGAAGCATGGAATCCCCTATGCAACGCAAGCCACTCATGGTCCCTGAGTAGGTGCAGGCGTCCTGTGACTGTCCTATGGAGGTCGCAGTGACAGTCAAATCCGTAATCCGATGCCGCCAACCATATTACGCACCGGCGAATGCGCGCAGCCGCAATTTGGAATTACCGGATTCGCAGGTTGTGATCAGCAGCTGCCTTAGTTGAAACAGGAAGTGGTAAAACAAGAACTACTGTTCTATTACGGTCAAAGTCTACGTGGCAATCATGCCCAACGTCAAGCGAACTGAACTTGCAAATTATGACCGCTGGCATTCGTGGATCAACCATAAAAAATCAAGCTATAAATCTCTCAAACGTCCGAAAATGATTCTGAGAAAAAATTGGGTTAACCTATAAACATTGGCGTGTCTGGCACAGGCTGCTCCAGAGGCTCTTGGAAGTTGCCACCCAGAGTAGCTGAATGGATAACAGGGGCACGCGATTCGTAGACAACGATAAGGCCCAGCTTCGCCTTGACTACTGCAATGAACGTTGGTGTTACTTATGTGAGGTGCACATGACCTAAGGATATGAATGTAGAACGGGTTATAAATTGTTGTGTTCTGGGCCCCCAGAGGGCTGAAATGCGATCCCATCCAGTATGGAAAGAGCTACGGGCGCATCGAAGAACAGCATGTTGCTCCAACTTCGCACAAATGATGTGCAAGTTGGAGGAGTGCAGATCGGATCCGAGTTCATCGTGACTTTCATACTAATGACTCCCAGGTTTATTAATTCGGTTTGACAATGCATGTGGGGTGAGTCAATGCAGCTGCGAGCAGTGCAACGCAACCCTCCAATGACTTCTCCGTAGTTGTAGGTGTTTTGTATTTGTTCGCTATATATATATATATATATTGAAGTGTTAAAATGAGAAATATATATCTGAAATGAGCTAGAACAATGGGAAAATACGAAGGATGGTGACAATGGTGAGTTGAATTGTCAGTGTGAGGCTGCATATCTGCCGGATACCTAAAGCGAAGAACCTAATCATGCCAGAAACGTATGACCATTTAACCTTGATGCGCAAGGAAGCGTATGAAAGAAAACCATAAATTAGCCACTCCATGAGATTAACACATCAGACAAGATGGTGCGTGCAAAAGCCTGTGAGTGTGAACAGTTAGGCTTCCGTGGATACTTTTAAAAACCTAGGTTTTGTATAACTCTATAGTATGTAAAAAAAATTTAACACCAAAGCACCGCAAGATTTAATTCCGGACAAATTTCTCTGCATATTCTCAAGTGTGTACTACAGAACACGGGAAAATTAATAGCATCATGAAGTTACGAAAGCTGAAATAGTTGAGGGTCATTTTTTGAAGTGCACGTTGTGTGGATGGATTGCGACGCGCAATCTCAATGTTGACCGCGATTCCCATGGAAGTGAATCTTGGTCTTTCGATCACAAGGACCGTAGCTGATGCAAATAGAAATAGCAAATTCACCAACATATGTACACCCATACACAGGCGCACACACGTCTTTGTCAATTCATCAGCTTGTTATTGTACTGGCACTGACGAGACAAGACAAAATGTCAACATCTGCCAGTTTTCGTCTTCTCACGGCGTTGTTTAAAATATTCAGGGGAACTAATTGTTTCAAATTCATCAGCTGTCTATTGGCTTACTAGCAGGGTAGAGTCAGTGTGACGAACGCGTCCTTCTGCACATACAGATTAGGGTCAAGCTGTGTGATTGCGACCGTCTCAGCGTATCGCAGCACGTGAGTGTTGTTCGATGCGTAGATCGCACTGAACATACCTGTGGGGTCAACACAGTGTTTGTCGGTCAGGAGATGGCAGGGATGGATGACGCAAACGTCTTAAAAGGTTGACCGCTTGCGTTCTATGGCTGCGCACGTTGGGTGGTGGACGGCGCTAGGTTTGGGATGTGATTCTTGACCCACGCTGAGATATGCTCCGCAATTCTCACCCGCAACTGGCGCTCTGTCATGCTTAGGAAAGTGACCTTGCAATTACATGTAAATTTGTAAATGATGGGTGAATGGCTGGACAGAGGTAGCTGCGGTTTGATCGAAGGTGTGGGAATGCACGTCGTTGTGTATACCAGTCCGGTTTGAGACGCGGGATACACTCATGCAACCACGGATTACGAACGCCGTTGAAAGATTTGGCCTGCATCATCTTTAAACGGCAGCTTCAGTATAACTTTAAGCTTTGGCACGGTGGGCACCTCTTTCTCCCTCTTCTTACTAAAGTGTGCGATGAAAGAATTTGGATATCCGTTTTCTTCTAGGGTGTTAGTGAGGAATCGCACCTCTGCATCTAGCGTGTCTGGCGTGCAGAGTTTTCTTGCTCTGTAAACAGGGTCTGCACCAATCCCTGTTTGTAGCGTTTGGAGACAAAACTGTAAAAATTCAGATACTGACGCTTCCACATTGGCCTACGGTAAACCGATCTACGTACCGATCCATCAGTTCTGCGTTCGATCAGTACGTCAAGAAACGGCATGCTATCATTCTGCTCTCGCTCTATTGTCACCGTGATGTTTTGATGCAGATCATTTAACGTAGTGTTCAGTTGCGTTAGTTGTTCCAACTGATCACAAATGATCAATATATCGTCCATGTCTCGGCGAAATAGCACGGATTGGTGGGTTTCGCCCTTGAATTGATTTTTAAAGTGAGCAATGAAATTATTCGCTAAGAGCGGTCCGAGCGGACTACCCATTGTAACACCATCTACGTGCCGAAACTCTTGCCTTTGAAAATAGAACTTCACATTCGATGTACTTAGCAGCAGGAGCCGTTCTATTTCGGACACTGGAATACACAGTTCTGATTGGCTCTCAGTCACATGGTTGCATATGATCTGGATAATCTCTTTCAGTGGTACGTTGGTGAATAGTGAGACCATATCGATGCTAGCCATAGACTTTCCACTTAGCTGGACACCATCCAACAGTTCCACTAGTTCAAACGTGTCCTTTAAGCTGTGCTTAACCATTGACTTCTTAACTGGCTCCAGTATTATCACTAGCCATTTAGCCAGCTTGTGTTGCGGTGAGTTGCTCACGGATAAGATTGGCCTTAGTGGGACCTCCACCTTGTGTAATTTTGGCAGCCCATGTTGGTGAATTTGCTTTTTCAACTTTCTTCACTCTTCATGATGCTATTAATTATCACGTGTTCTGTAGTACGCACTTGAGAATATGCAGAGAAATTTGTCCGGAATTAAAATTTCGTCGGGAAAGAGTTGATTCTATAATGAGTGTTAACCAATCTAATGGATGGCTGCGTTAGCCCATTCTATACAATTACAGGAGCTGTGTAAGCATGTCAAAACTCGTCACACCTTGTGGTGTAGAATTTCAGTATCAAAAAACGCTTACTAACATAGATGGAATCCCTCCGTTCGTAACCTATGAGTGTGCCTGGTGGAGCATTAAAATAGGCCAAGATGTAGCCGTCAAAGTCAGTAAGTCGTACGTAGATCTGGATAGCGAGCGGTGAGATGAAAGGAAACAAACAGCAAAACTATGAGTGCCTTTTAAAACGCTCATCAATTCGCCATGGTGCCAAAAACCAGATGTCTGAATGGATAAGAAAACAAAAACGACAACTGTTGTAACTAAAACTCACGCCTCCAAAATTTCTGAATCGTTTGAGGACGTCTGGAACAATAAATTTGCTCAAATTTTCGTCGGCTAAAGCCTTATCCAGAAGATAGTTGATGAAATAGCAACCCGGCTCAACTGTGATCACCATGTCTGCTTCCAATACTCTAGCCGTTCGTAGATTCTGCAGGCCCGGAGGCTCTGGTCGAGCCGGTGAGTGCTGCAAAACACAAAATGTTAAACTTGTAGGTAATGTAGGAAGGCTAACTCAAGAGCAAAATAAACACAGAACTCGCGTCAAACACAAAGATCCCCCACCTTAGACGTGTCACGTCATTTGTGCACACAAGCTAAATACCTAAATGTACTCAAAAGGATAGCGCACAGAGTAACTTGAAGTCTGGGCTCTGGGGAGCAACTTTGTCTTCGGCACTTTACAGACATGCGTGGTACTACAGGGTGGGTTGCGTGACATTCTGGATGGCTGTTTGATGAAGGTGGCTGCTGTCACCACCCTCGGCCCAATGCCTTTAAACACCGACTCGAAAAAGGAAGGGTTCCGGATTGTAGCTTCTCATTGGGCAGATGGAATGAGAACCGTTACCAAGCCCTGACAGAGCGAAACGACGGTCTGAGATACAACGGTCGTCTTATTGTGGGCAACTACGACGAATATCTGTTGAAAGTCAGTTGCAGAATTAAAAACATGGGAACAATCTCGTAATGAGACAATGGGACATGGCTTCGGTCGTAAGAGGAGCGTTAGCAAAAACAGAGATCAAGGGGAAATATGAGAAACCGGAGTTGAAACAGTGAAACAAATTCCTCGTGGAGGTCGCAAACAGCAAAATTTCTATACAACTGTAGCGGAAATTTTATGTAACCGCCAAACTAATCCAAATCAGACGATGAGAATCATGTGAAACCAGACGTTAGGTAAGTTAATCGAAATGCCTCCAAATATGTCATGCACAAATCGAGGGAATTTGTTAATTCATGTATTTGTAATGTGACATGGGAACTTGACCACAAGGCTGTGCTAAGGAAAAAACAACCAGCACCCAAATCCACGCAAATAATGTGTAACCAACAGTTCGGGTATGGTCGCCTAAGCTTCTTAAGAGCCAAAGGAGAAGGAATTTGCTGAAAAGATACTGCCGAAGTTCGGTGGCCAAATGAATAAATGAGTCCTCTAATGTGGAGAAGTTAACAGTATGTATGCGAAGATAAATAGGCGGTATTCACATGAATTCCAGGAAAATTTACAAGTTTGGTATTCAGGTGCAACATAGAACCACGAGTATGAAATGGTTGTAACGAAGCGAACGATAACTACGCGGTGTTGGATGACTAACAGATGAAGACAGAGTAGTAAAAACTAGACTATATATCAACGGGTTATCAAGGGAGAAGTGCAACAAAGCGTGGTAAATCAAGGAACGTTGAAAAATCCACAGTCTGAATGGAGAGAGCTTCGGAATGGGGAGGTAAGATTCAATGAGAATATAAAGTAAGGACAAAATATCGACGTAAATACACATTGATGCTTACGGAGGTGTAACCCCCAACATCATGGACGTCACAGCCCATCAGGTGCCCAAGACCATGTGGCATGAAAATGGCACCCAAATAGAATGTCATCATTTCGTCCACACTGCCGCAAAGAAGACCTCCAGTGAGCAAATGTTTCAAAATTGTATGTTCCGCTAGTTTGTGTGCGTCCACCCAGGAAACGCCTGGCTTCAACATAGCCAGAACAGAACTAGTAGACAAGAGAAACAAAGCAAGTGTGATCAACTACAACCGAACCACCGAGGGGGTAACTAACACAAATTCACAAATGACAGCAACTGCGGCTAAATATTTTGTGAGGTTAACAAATGGGCCAACAGTTTAGTCTAGCTCATGTAAACAATTGTCATTCCGGAACGTAAATGCAATAGGTCGCCATGGTCATAACCAACGTAAATCTGGAAATGAAGACAGAAACGAACAGAAAAACGGATGAAAACAGTGGAAAAGGGTGATAAAAATATAAACGGTAGATGGAAAGATTGACAAGTAGAAGTATAAAACAAATGAAGGGAAGCTGTTAGCCAAGCGACCGCGCCATGTTGATCAAGTATCGAATTATTGTTTCCGTTCCATCCAGGAAAATAGAACGCGCAATCTCAGCTAAAAATTTCGGTTCGCTTTCCAGAGTATCCGCCAGTCAATTTGCTAATGAATCAAACTAAACGCATCCACGGCAAGCGATACACATCGAGGTAGGCAAACGACAAATATGCCAAAGTAGGCAGCTCGGAGGATCCGGGGCTGATCGAATCAGGTGTTTAGCTTGAGTATGTGGACGTGCGTAGAAACCTCGAAGTATACCTCGTACACACGCCGCCACTCGTGGTTAGCTCCTGACAGGTCGTTGGTAGATGTGTGCTGTATCGTAGACTCATGTACTGTACGTCTACACGTAGCGACCGCTGGGGAGGAGTTGGGTTACACTCTACTTCTAACTAAAAACCAGAAAACACAATTTCGTGTGAGCTGGTTCACAAATCCATGACACAAATCCAGCTGCCTTTCGGGAGCACATTTTATCGAACGTCCTAGTTGAGGACCCGAGTCGTTCTCTTGTCAGGTGTGGACGCCCGGCAGTACACCAGACAAAAACCAAACAATGAAATACATAAATAGTGATTATGTCATTCTGTGCCGGCTGCTGAGTAGTGGCAATAGATAAAACGGGGTGGATATAGGAAAACATGCCACTGCTGATGCCTCCATTCGTTCTTCTTCCACTGCACATTCTCCGCCGTCCCCATTTCACCTAACCCACTATTTCCTACAATCCAGGTCACCAAGCGAAAGATTGACCGCCGCAATCGTAAACCTTCGTGTAAAGCGCTCAACATCAGGTGTTGGAACGTATTATTCGACGGGAACTCGAGTGAACGTCTTGAGTGACGCACTGCACTGGTAGTCATGGAACTCGCTCACTACAGTATGAACATTACCGCACTCAGCGACACTCGGCTCACTGGCAGAGACAAGCTGTATGAGGCTGGTGATGGGTATATGGCCAACAGGTTGTGACACGCCACAAGAGCATCACGTGAACACGGGGTCGGATTTGCACTATTCGACTACCTAAATGGCCGACCGGTGGCAGAGCCGACTGGCATCAGCCGACGATTGATGACTCTACGTCTATGACGTGGAATAGGTAAAGTTGCAACGTTTATTGGCACCAGGTGTTATCCTGGTGACACGATGGATCAGTGTTACGCTCACTTATCTGTGTCGAGGCGCGACCGCCAATTTCCACTGGGTGATTTCAACTCGCGCGCTAAGCGTAATGCTACGGTGTGGATAGAAGTAGTCGGTCCGTATGGTATTGGCACAGCCAATGGGAACGGTGACCGACAACTCTCACGGTGCGCCACTCACTGCCTGACGATCACGACACACAGAGTTTGCACTGGGAGCGAGTGATACTGCTACCTGGACGCACCGACGGAGCGGTAGCGCACATCAGCTAGTCTAACTGCCAGACTATGTCATCGTACGCCAGCGTGACATGCGCGAAGTGCGCATGACACGTGTACTACTTGGAGTTGAGTATGGCACTGATCACAAGTTGGTGCGGACCAAATTGTACACGTATTTCGAAAATCTATGTTTTGCTCACCTGAGGTGAACCGGCTCAAGTTTCGTCTCCTCCCCCTAGGTATGACCGAGAATAGGAACTGGGGAAAACAATGGCCACCCACCTCGCCACCTAGAATATATCGCCTCCATGAGCGACCTGTGACACCATATCCGTTAACAGGTGATGGCTGCGGCCGAGGAAACGATCGGGCGCGCAAACTGTTAGCCGACCGATTGGTTTGATGACAACAGTGCGACGGTTGGCGCATTGGAGTCAGCGAAGAATGCAGCCTTCGTTGCACTTATTACGAACGGTGACAATGCAGAAGAGACAGTTTTGTAAAATTCGACAGCGAATGACCTGAGAGCTCTGTCGAAACAATAAAGCATGGTGGACAGAGGACGAAGCAGATGGAGTACTACGATGGACGCAGCAATAAAAAACTCATTGGCTTCGTGAAAGTGGTGTATGAATCCACCTAGTAGCCGCTGGTGGATGCCATTTCAGGCGCTTCCTACACACAGAGTGCAGACAATGCAGATCTAGTGAATGCGATTTGTCTATCTCTCGAATAGGCGTTCCGAGATAGAATGACATATGTTTCACGGGCTATAGCAAGAAAAGAAGATACGCCTTGCGTGAATATCATTAAATCATTCACTATGTACGTTAGCTAGAGGTGGAAAACACCTCACCTATTGTGCAGCAATAAGTACACAAAGAAAAAACATGCAACAGAGGCATGCCAGCTGAGCCAACAGTGACGGATAAGCATAGTCCCGGAGAACTGCCAGCCGGCAACTATGCAAAAAAAGAATTATATTATGCTTTAGAAATGTGATTTTGGTTGGGGGTGGAAAACGATCGGAGGGGAAGGAACAAAGAAACACAACACAAACGCCACTGAGGTCGCCTCTTCACCATGTGAACTAGTGTACCCAGTCAAACGTGTTCATCGTCGTTCGGGCAACAAAAAGGGAGCCGAGAGGTTTTAACCGAAACCAACTTCGATATAAGTACTTTTATACCTCTTAACTAAGTCATCACTTGGCCTCCCCTCCTCTTCTTCCATTCACATCTTCCGGCGCGCAAACAACGCACGTCGCGGGAGTCGGTGTGCTGGCTTGCACAACACGTCGCCCAGCCATCGGAGCCTGGTGCGTGAAATAACGGTGCTGAGCAGATTACTCACTCTTCCTGCACCAAATACATGAAGACTAACACACTCAATGCTCACGCGGTGCGCCTAACAGACATGAGTTTAGCTGCGAAGGCAGCGATGATCGAACGTAATTAGCCTGTTTATGTCTGCTGACTTGATGGGACAGGTTTCGCAACCGTATAGTAGGGTTGAACGGACGGACGGGAATGATGTCGCACCGGCACCACAGGTGGCGAAGGTAAACAAAAGGGCCTAGAGCCTTTTTCATACGGTTTATGACCATGTGTTACATCTCAGTGGCGCTGATGTAGCTGCCTGGATAGTTAAATTTCTCGACGACTATTAGCTGATCACTAGCAAAGAGTCAGCGCACGGGTGGGTCCCCGCAAATATTGGAGGAATTTGCACTCGGAGGGTGCAAGACTTAATGCGAAACGAATGACAGCCAATGCTACTTGGCACATTTGGGTTATCAAAGATAATGGGAATGTCGTCGGCGTACTCCTAGGAGCAGCTCCATGCATTGCAGGTCGTCTCCAGTGAAGGCAGCCTACATGACTTCGTTAATGGAGAAGTTAAAAATGAAACGTGACAGCGGGCATACTTGTCTTACACCGCTGGAGATACTGAAGGGCGGCGACAGTTTACCGTAAGCCCTCACTCTGCCCGAACTATGCGTGTACAGCGCTCTGATAAGCTTAAGTCAATCCTCAGGCACATCTTTCCTCAGTACAGTCACAAAGGGAACTGGATCAACCGAATTGAAGGTACCTTTGACGTCGAGGAAAACGACTACGGTGGGTCGCCGATGAATATACGGTGCTCAAACAACTGTTGTAAAATGAAGAAGTGATCAATATAGCCGCGACTTCGACGAAACCCGGGCTTGCTCCTCGGGAATCTGACTAGCACGGGTGCCAGCCAGTCTATGAAGAATGAGAGGGGAGTACGTTAGAGGCACTTGTGATCAAACTGGTTCTTCTATGATTTCCGTATTGGAAACGAGCCCCCTTTGAAAAACGGGATTATAATCCAGCGGCTCTAATCTGCGGGGACAGTTTCCTGCTCCCACAACTTCACAAGTGCGTTGTGCAGATCAGCAAAAAGAGCAGGTCCCCTGAATCTGAGGAGAGTTGAGGGAAGTCTATCCGCTCCTGCGGCCCTACTCAGTTTCAACAGTCTGATCTCATATTCGACTTCTGCGCGTAAACGCGGGTCCATGGGGACTGCCCAGGAACAAGTGCGATGGGTGACCGAAGGAGAAGCTGGCAACTATGTTTCTTCAAGCTGCTTTCAAACTGTTCGGCCTAACACTCCAGGCATTTTGACAAACTGCTGATATCCATCTCTGAACTCGACACAGAAGTATGTGGGTAGATACAACCCCTGTTAAAAAAATCAAGACAATGAATGGCGTTGGGACAATATAACCTCATCATGGATGCCTAAGTCTGTTTGCGAACAGCTTTAGTACGTCAACGGTAATCAATATGTGCGCTCAACTGCGGTCAAGCCTGATCTCATGTGAGATTTGTCAGGTTTGTATGTTAACGGTTTGCCCCATGCTGAGGATGATGCATTCTTGATGCTTCTTCACCGCAGTTGGGCTAAACCAACTTACACTTAAACTAAGTCTTTTTAAGCTGGCTAAATTTCATCCCACTCTATTTGGTTTGTTCTGCCTACCTGAATAATCTATTAACTGGTCACGTTGCTTACGCTAATTGCGCTTATCTTCGGTAACTTGGTTGCATTTATAGCGTTTTAAGTAACTTGTGGACATTTTTCCTTATCGCGGATTCGTTGCTAAAACCAACTTACTTCATATGCTAATTTAGCGAAGAGTTATGCCGCCGTATCTGTATGCATTATTGGATTTATTTTATTTCATCTTGTCGTTTCAAGTGATTCACTGTTGCTTGATATCCCCGATGTGCCTGCGCTTGATGTGCATGTTGACAAGATGCCTACCTGTCTATTATCCACTACCTCGTCAATACTGGGTCCAGGAGAGAGTTGATCGCTGCTGGAGGGGACGGGGTGCACGGTCCTTGTGGCCGTGCTAGGCTCGAAGAGCGGTTCCATCCACTGCCTTGTGTGCGCTTGATTCTCCAAATACAGCATGCTTTTGTTTGCCCGTGAAGGAGTGGGGGCCGGCTCCGTTGATTAAACGTGGCTCCCATCCATATGCCTCCCGGTCTTATTCCTTCGGGTGTATACTGGATATGGGGTGTGTGTGAATGGAGCTGTGGGTGGTGCAGCGCAAGTCACCCATGGTCCCGCTGTAGGCGCAGGTGTCCTGTGGCTGGCCACAGTGACAGGCAAATCCGAAACCGGATGCCGCCAACCATGTTAGCGGTTGTGAGGAAGCTTTGTTTGAGGGGGACAGTAAGAAACCAGCAAGCTGCAGTTGCGCATTCCAGTCGTCCAAGAAATTGTGGTGGTCGCGTCATATTGTAATAGAGTCGTGAGTGCAACCTGTTAACTGCGGACATTTAAACCTGGGTTTTGAGTGGTGCTGAAAATGGTCTTGTCTGACCCCTGTCCACCGATCGGTATAGGATAGCGGGCTCCGAAAACATTTTGAAGACCAAGATAATGAAAGTTAGTTGAGTACAAAAGAACACAAAATGTCGCACCGTTCCAAGACCAAACTTCATCGCGGTACTGTAAAACAACACCCATTTAGTATCGGATAAAGCACCTTCTTGAGCAAGGGATAAGGGTTTAATAAAAACTGCGCACAATGTGAGCGAATTTCGGGAGGTTGAGTGGAAGGCAATCTAAGTATGTTAACAAAATTTGTAAGTGGTGTTCGATAATGAAGAGTGAGGGACACGATGGTTCCCGAATATTCACACAAGTACCAGACCTTTGGGATAAGGAGAACGGTACTGGCAAGATGACATGTGTGTTGTAATCCAACTCAGTGTAATGTGGACGCAATCGATCTGCTCGGAATGATAGGTGATTAGTTAATGTGACACATTACATACCGAGATGCATCGAGGACAGCTTCGTACACCAACTTCTGATCTGCAGTGAAACGTCCATTTGCGGGAAACGAGCAGGTGATATCAGAAGTGTAACAGTAATACTCTCCACCCATATCGAAAAGGCACATATCACCGTCCGAAATCCGGCGTTGATTCGGCTTACCAGCGTGCCCGTAGTGCAATATGGCGCAGTTACATCCGCTACAAAGAAGGCGTAGGTCGGAAATGACCGGTAATTCAGTGTCGTAGGACGGTGCTGTTTGTTATCAAAAGAGAGTCCAAAGAAATTGCAGTCCAGAAACGAATGGTATATGATAAGCCACATGGATATGAAAGAGATAACTAGCAAACCGACTTATATCTCCATCCATGGTGACCACGGACTTGCAAATAGTAAGAAAGCAAAACGGATAAATGCAAAAACCAACACTGTGGTGCCAATTCCGCATCCTAAAGTGGTTATTCAGAAGGGAAAATGGGATATGGTTGCATCGGGAAGTAAAGCGATAGCAAAGTTAGGTCCGACCCACAGAAATCTGTTTACGATTATCAAAACGGTTAAAGCAAAAATGTGCATACAGGATAAATTTAGCATTTATACGATGCATCTAAGCTAGCACTCATCCAAAAATACTTGGGTGACTGAATATCGGCTTATCAGCTACCAAACGCAGCGAAAAGTGGCGTTAAGCGTCCTAGAACACATTTAAATGTGCTGACCAGTTGCTACAATTGTAACTGCCTGTTAGTTAAATGATAAATGTGAAACTGAAGACCGGAGTGATAGTTTAACAGGAAAATGAGAAAATGATAACAAGTCCTATCGGACGGCAATCAACATGCTGCAACCGCTGGAAATAAATTAGGAAGGAAGAAATTAGCTAATGGAGTTAGAATGAGGAGAATTGGTCACCAGCAGCAATCATCGAACGAGAGAAGCGGACACTCACGAGGCCCCAATACAAGTGTAGGCAACGTGACGCATACCGCCATGGAAATAGCAGTAGTGCAAGAATATGCTCTCTGCCTCAAATTCGTGCATGCCTGGCTTCACGGATCGCATTAAGTGGCGGTGTGCTGCACTGCTGATACGATTCGCGTACCGAAGTACTTCCAACTCTTCAGATGTTTTGTGACAGCGACTAAAAGAAAGAAGTAAACATTAGGTAAAGCCCACAGAGAACGAAAGGGGGTGCGGTCGATTGGAGGACATAATCCCTAACAGGGGCAGAGAATGAGTTTAAAAAGCAGTAGAAGTGAGAAAGTATTTAGATTGAAAAGCCATATTACAAGTGTCAAGAGGTAGACTGGGTAAGAGAACACAAAAACATAAGGGCTATACACTGGGGATACAGGATGGACAACTGAGCAGATGTAGTAAGTTCAAAGTCGCGAAATCAGGAAGTTCGGTGATCGGTTAAAAAAATGTCAAGAGAAGCTTGGTACGGTCAAATCCATATATAATTCCCTGAAGGGCTGGTGGCTGCTTCGCTGGTTGGGAAGGTGATGTATGTGATGATACGAGTTCTGTGAAGTATGCTGAGTGCCACTAGACCTAACTGACAAAATTGGATAATTTGAAACAGTTAGTGCCCTTGAGTAATTTGAAAAGCGCAGTAAGAAGACGAAGACTGGCAAATGCACACATTTCGTATTGTCTCATCAGTGCCTTTAACAATAACTCGCAATAATAATTATTCAGCGAAGGGTGCGATCAAACATACATACAAACAGACAAATAGACCAACACAGAGCAGTCTAATGCTGACCGATAATTGTCTCTGAACACAAAACATCGGCTTAATCCGGTTAATTGCAATCGCCTCTGCGAAACGGAGGAGGCGAGAATTGGTGTGTTGTAATAGGACTGTGAACGCCGAAAATTGGATAACACACTCACCATTCAACTATCTCTGGATGGAGAATGGAGTTATTTACGCGAAATCTGAAACAAGAGCAAACAATTGGCAATTAAGTTGACTCAGTGCAATCGTCGCCAAAAGCTGTAAGCCAGCCAATGCAACGTTACCATACAACCGCAAATCTACAAACAGAATCCGGATGATAAGAAACAAAAATGGAAACTATAAGTGAGCCATCAGAAGGAGAGAACTATTTTGAATCGAGGATACAATGTCTCGAAAATGTAGGGAGAATAAAGTGTAAGAGAGTTCCAGTCTTGATTTATACTCAGTCTACTCCCACATGTAGCTAGGCACTGAACACACAGCTAGACCGGGAGATAAGCTGCGCAACTAGTGGCAATTGTGTGGACCGAAGCAAGCTAGGCAAAGCGGTCAAATGGTCAGTAGCTTCACTACCTTTACGAGGTCAAGAAATTTGTCGAAACTTAAGTCGTCTTAGATTCAAGAAGAAAATCCGGGCCTTGCAAAATGTAGAAAATACGCCAATACGCAAAGCATGAAAGTCCTCGAGCCAATGTAAAATAGCTACGCTATGCAGTAAATCCGAGGAGTGTAGCTGATCACCAGTATAGTATAAAGCTGAGTACCTCATTAGACTGAGAGCATATAATAGCTCACTAGAGACAGAAAAAATTGTGAAGTAAAGGGCGTGCAGAATGTACAGACGCTTCACTGGAACACCTTTAAGAGTAAACTGAGCACAACCAGCCATTGAGGTAAAGGAGTAGTTGGAAATGACAAACACAACATCAGTCAGTAAATAAAACAGGGAGACGATATTCAGAATGTGATCCATCCACTGCCGTCCAGTTGGCAAGCAGCACATTTAAGAATACCGTCCAACGATGTAGCGGTGAACTAGAATGACGGCCAGAAAGTTAAGGACTACTGGTTGATAACTACAGGAAATTTTGCGATGGGAGTCGGGAGGAGAACAAGATAAACAAGTGGAAGTTGAAGAGGGGTTGCAACAACAGTAGCCTACATAAATTGTCCATCCTCCCAACGGGAGAATCATGCGGACTCTCGGCTGGCTGTCCTAAACATATTGTGCTGACGAGCGGTACGCCGAATACACAAGTGACAAACACCGTCACTTGATTGCGGTTGGCAGCTTCCAGTTGGTTACTTTCTGGGTGTCTTACCTATTTCTTTGGATTTCTTCGTGCATTGGAATTATCTCGTGGAAGTTACGATATCATTCAGGTTCATTTCTGATCCTGCATACAGCGAGGAGGATAAGCGAAAACATGCTACTGCTGTCGCTTCCATTCTTTCTTCTTCCCCTGCACATACTCTTCCCGTCCCCGTTTCACCTAACTCACAATTTCCTCCAATTCAGATCGTCACAACCCATACGGTTGCCCGCCAACGCAATCGTATGGCTCCACATGTGGCTGACCCCAGTTACTGACTGTAAAACTGCGTCCTATTAAAAATGCATGATGGATGGAGAAGGCGAAGCAGATGGAATGCTACTGCGAACGCTGCCAACACAAGGAATTATTTGACTACTTGAAGACGATATATGGACCGAGCTTGCAGTCACTGAGGATGCTAATCAATGGTACTTCAGGCGCTGCCTACACACAAACTGAAGACATAATGTCCATTGAACAACCGTTCAGAGATTGAATGGACTGTATTGCACGGGCTACAACAATAAAAGATGAAGGTGTGTGTTGCCGAAACACCGACGCTGGTTGAGATGCAGGGAGCCCTTGTGCAGCCGCGAAACGGCAAGTGTGCCGGTGCCCACGGGATCCCGCCTGAAGTACTGCAACACGGCGGAACCGCATTGGTAAATGCGCTGCATCACTTGCTGCAACGAGTGTATTTTGACGAAGAGGTGTAGGCCGAGCTGAAGGATGCGCTTCTGCTACCTCTGTACAAGAGCGAAGGAAGTAAGCAATGTAGCACGAATTATAGTGGCATCAACTTGCTGAGTAGTGTGGGGAAAGTGATCGCACGAATCCTGCTCAACCACCTCGACACTCAGGACTTTGAATCTAACGAAGAGGAAGAGCAATCTGGATTCCGTTCGGACCGCAGCGCCATCAATATGGTGTTCGCGGCGCGTCGGCTACAGGATAAATGCAGAGAGCGACACCAGCCATAGTACCCGACGTTCGTTGACTTCACCAAGGCATTTGATACGATGAACCGCGAGGCACTGTGACTGGTGTTGGGTACGTTTAGTCGTCCGAGTAATTTTTTAAGTTTAAATGAATGTCTTCACCGTGGTATGCAACAGAGTGGCAAACCTCGGATGACTTTGATGTTGTCTCTGGTGTAAAGCAAGGCTGTGTCTCACCTCCTGCTCTGTTTAATATTTACCTTCATGCATTGATATCTTGTAGTTTTGATACCGCTTTTGAGTACGGTGTCCATGTGAAACACCGTACTGACGGCAAGTTGCTGAACATCCATTGTTTAGGGGCGAGAACCCGAGCGCGTGAGATAACCATCCGCACGTTGCTGTTTACTGACGACAGTGCGCTGGTTGCGCGCAACGCGGATGAGTTGCAGCACAGGACGTCGGCTCTCGCTTCGACAGCGGTCAAATTCAAGCTCACCATCGACAAACAAGACTGTTTGTATTTTCCATCCTTCACCGGGAATGGATTCCGTTGACCTGTCCCAAATCAAGGTTGCCGATGACGTGTTGGAAAGCACTCCGAGATTTTGCTACCCTGGGACCGTAATAACAAGCGACCTGCAGATGACGAGCGAGCTGCGCAGCCGCGTATAGAAGGCGGCTGCTGCATTTGATAAATTAGTAGGTCGTGTGTGGAATAACCAACAGCTCACTGTCGGGATGAAGCTGCTGGTATACTAGTCTATGGTGCTGTCCGTTCTTCTATAAGGCAGTGAAACCTGGACCCTTTATCGGAGGTCAGGAATCTGGACCGCTTCTATACACCGTGTCTGCGTCGTATTATGAGCATCGGTTGGAGAGACCGAGTTGCAGACACTTAGGTGTCCTGACGCAGTGGACTGCATACTTCTGCTGAGGCACCTGAGGTGGCTCGGGCATGTTAACCGCATGGATTCGACCCAGATACCGAAACAGTTGCTTTATGGTCAACTGTGTGCAGGGAAGCGGCACGTGGGAAAACCGAAGCTACGTTACCAGGACAGGATCATGGTGAGTTTATCACGAGCTGATGTTGATTTCAGGTGTTGGGAGTTGATGGCAGTAAATCGGCAAGCATTTAAAGAGGGCGGTTGCCCAAGCGCAAGAGAAATCACTACTGCATGTAGAAATGAAACGTCGGTTGAGAAAGCGACAGGCCTCGGTGGTGGATAGCCCATCGACATCGAGTACATTGTGCTGTAGCACATACGGTCGTGAGTGCCTGAGCCAAGCGGGTTTGGTAAACCACCAGCGTTGCCACGTTGGGCCAAAATGTAAGAGAAGACGAGTATCCTAATAGTTTAGTCATCATCAGCGCGGCGCTCAGTAAGTTCGCTGCTTCCGATTCAATGTACTAGACCACTTCAATAAGATGGTCGATGTGGTACGTGTGCACATCGTTGCATCCGGTCTGTACGTCTCAACAGCATCTTTCAAGCGTCGCGATAGGGTATCAGCAGCAGAATCGCCCTTAAATGGCAATGCTTTTAGTAAGGTTGCGTTTGTGTTCCTTCAGATGCTACGAGATAAATTTGTCCGGATAGCCATTTTCTCGCATGGCATTACTGGTTCACTGCAATCCTTCGTTCACGGTATCCGGTGCGTAAAGGCGAGAGATCGGACCAAACTTCTCTTGTACTGTAGCGGCACTGCACTGTGAAAGTTCGTGTATTGCCCAGTGCATGTATGCTTTCTGTGCACTTTGCTGCAGATAGATCCATCGGAGTTGCGGAGAACGTCTACATCCATAAAGGGTAGTCGGTTTCCGAACTCATGTTCGCATGTGAAGTGGAGGTTCTCATGTCCATTATTAAAAGCTTGTAATAACTGTGTCGCATGCTATTCCGATTTGCAAAGTACGAAAGCGTCATCTACATAACGTACATACATTTCAGTCGCATCGACGTAGGTTCTAAGTGAACCAGGTTCCAATTCTGCCATAAAGGCATGAGGCAGCAGGGGACCAGTTTGGATAACATTCAATTTACAATGAAGAGGTTATTTATGGCAAAAGGGAGCAAAGCGATTGATATTGTAAATTGGTCGCACCCACGGAGTGGTCACGATCACCTGCTCAAAGGTCATCGTAGGTCAGCGTGACACGCGCGAATGCGCATGACACGTGTATTGCGTGAAGATGAGTGTGGAACTGATCACAAGTTGGGGTGGATAACTGTTTAGATATTTTCGACATTCCATGCATTGTTCCCCTATCGTGAATAAGCGGTAATTTGATGTTTTTTAGGTATTGTTGAGAATAAACTCGAACTGGAGAATGCGATGTCTACTCGCCTTGGCAGTGTCGATTCCATCCCTTCAGTTTGTGACCTATGGCACCACATCAAAGGAAAATGGCCTACTGTCGCAACTCGACAGTGAGTAACTGGTGTGAAACCTCCGTAAGTTAACCACTCAATGGACTGAACCCAAGTGGTCAACATACAGAGGCCTGCACCTATGAGGGCTGACACCCCCACAACTTACAGCTTTTGCATTGGAACATATTCACTTATCCCCTTGCGAGAGCATGAGCCATATGTAATGTTCTGGATGGGTTCAGCTTTTAGCGAGGTCAAGAAATATATTGCTTACTTAAGTATGTAAATATATTTACCAAGAGGTAATGCTAATGATTAAAATTCACAGAGGGAAATGCACAGCTTTTCAAGATGCTGATGAATGATGCAGGCGACAAATATATAGTGTGAGTACAACCACATACCTCTCAATGCCCGGAAAGGAAGCTTCCTGGGTATATCTTCCACTATCACTGTTAAGCCCTCGCTGTGGTCGAAACAAAATTGGAAAATAAAACGAACCATTAGCCGTAACAAGTAGGAAACAATACTACAAAGCACATGGAAAACTACCAATTCTTGGGAAACTGCAGTGCACCAGACAGCAGTGAGCGGATCGATGTACAGAGGCAAAAAAGGTGGATTGGTTTACGCATGAAAAGGACGAAAAAGAAAATGACATTGCAAAGACTTTAAAAATCCATAGTTTTAGTGAAAAGTGTAGTTATGATCACATAGAAGATATAAGAGCTTACCAGTGTTAAAAGCAAGGTCGCACCACTGTTTTCGAAAAAGTTCGGCATCTGTAGAGCAAGATTCGATTATTTAAACGAGGATGCTTCTGTGATTAAGTGGCTCCAAAGAATTTCCAAAGGTTATCGAAAAATTTTCGTAAACAATTAAGAAATTGTGCCATGGTTAATATTTTTGAGAGGATCCAGTGAAAACGAGCACTGGTCAGGTATTATTAGTTCTGGTTATTAATCTGCCCAATGATAAACTGGGGAAAAGTGGTGGTACTTAGCTCGAAATCGAGTCAAGACACTATGTGCACCCTCATCGAGGCTGGTTGCAAGGAGAAAAATGGAAGGCGCATATGTACAAGTGGATTAGCCATTCCAAATTCATCCCAGCTTATTTCAACAAGAATCGCTGAGAGCAAAGGAGTAGTATAATACGTAGCGTTTGAGCACAATGCTGAAATTTCCAAAAGTGAAAGGCGTTAGCGTTTACAGTGTGAGAAAAATCATAAAAAGATGAATCAAAATACCGATGACAAAACTGAGATGAAAGGTAGCATACTGAAAAGAGAGAAGGCATAGCTGATGAAAACACTAAGTACACATCGCATGGAGTTATGCGTTATGAGGACTCTGAGAAGCTTTTTATCTAAGACGGCAACATCAAGGATGCGGTCTTGTACTAAAAGATCAGGATGAAACGTGTGTTGAACATCAGGACTCGCGATCGCCACCGATGATTACAATACCCGGTGAACGATACAAATAAGATTCCTAGAAGAGACTATATGTCTTTATTAGAGCGCACATATGTAAACAAATCTCCGTTTCCTACTTCTTTATCTGGTCGCAAACGTAATGTCTCAACCAGAAGAATTTTGGTGAGGAACGAGAAAACATCCAAGGATAGCATTGTTTTCTCAGAGTTCGTTATATTTGATGCTGCAATCTGACAGGTGTGATGTGACTCAACAGTTTTCGTCGCACCGAATGAAGTGACTGTATTTTAAGATGAATTGGCCCCTGATAAAATAAGACGGAGTGGGATGTTGGTTTTGTGGACTTCAGTAACCGATAAAGTTTAGAAAGGTTTGTGCCACTCGGGCTGAGGTTATCGTATACAGTACTGGAAATGTGTCCCTTAGTCCGAAGATTTTGTACGCTCATAGTGATCCGTCTCTCAAGTTGCTCCGTTTGGTGCACTTCCTCCGTGTTTCAGGAAAACGTTCTCATCGCTCAGCAGTGTTGTGAGTTTCCCTACGTAGCCTTCCCCGACGAACAGCAAAATTCAAACATTCTTGTCCGGTTTTCATAAGATGACCGTTGCGTTTTAGTTCCTTGAGCGCATCCGGATGCTTACGTGTGAGCTGGTTATGAGTAGGAACATACTATTCGCGACCGTGGTAGCAGCGACTAAAAAACACTTAAAAGTTCCAGATTCGATGGATCAATAGTGCAATGCGGGTTCAAAGATGCAAACGATTAACAAGTCACGTAACCTGGTCAGAATGAGAACCACGAAACGATGAAAAGAAAATATAGTGATGGAACAAAAAGCATTTTAGTGGATTCACCAATGTTCACTCAGAAGCATGCAGAAAAGAGCCAACCTTAATTGAGTAGGTTAATGCTGGTTGTGCAACGTTGGTCACATTATACCCTCTGACGATGTAAGCGATATTTAAGCACCGACAACGTGGAGACCGGAACAACGTAATTTAGGAGGGCGTTCCATGTCTGGCACACACAAAGAGTGTAACGGTTTCGCCGACATTCTAACCGATTTTATTTTGCAGCACACTGTAACCGGTGGCCCCTCAAAGTCGTTTTGTGATTGAGTTGCAAAAGATGGCGGCAGATGTCTTTGGGCTTCCTCAAAATCTGATAGGCCATGTAGGCGCCGATGACGGCCGCCATAAATCTAACAGTCCTCAGCCTAAGTTGATATGAAAGTCGATACAAGCATTTGACATGTTTGGTGGCTGTGTGCTGTGGAGTCTCGAGCGATGCGAGAGCTTGCTTGTGCCAGAGCTGTCCGGTCTGGGTTGTGTACTCCACATGAGGCCACATGTATGTGTTAAGCAACTGCAAACAACCAGATAGATCAAACCGCCTGATCGCTCTCCGCAGTATGCCAATGTGTTGGCTTCTAGTCTTCGACACCTTATCGGGTTGTTCTGAGCAGCCAAGATCAGCCTGGATTAATACCCTAAGGTCGCGCTCCTTAGAGACTGCTTGTAGTTTATAGCCTCCAAGCTTGGATATGTTGTCTGGCTAGTGACAAACCTGAACCACATTACACAGACGAATTAAACTAGAGCAGAATGCAGAGTGACCATCCACACGCCCTACCCATGTCTCGTTGAAGTGCATCGTGATCTCCTTGGTCGGCAATCACCAGCCACATGTTAAGATCATCAGGCAACAACGAGAATTCCGCGGCAATCAAATGTGTAAGCTCGTTAATGAACACGAGGAATCGACGCGACTCTAGAACTGATCTTGTTGGAACGCTACATTCGACATGAATCGGACCCGATAGTTCATTTCGAGACTTAACATGCAGTTACCGATTATGTAGGAATTTCCTGATCTACCGAAGGATTAAAAAACCAGCTCCAGTTTTCGAGCCTGTGAAGCAGAACTCGTCGGCCCAGTCGGTCGAAGGCTTTGGAGAAACAGAGGTAAATAACATGGATTCCGCTACCTTTGTCAGTCGCTTTCGTCCAACTACTGTGTACAATCAGTAGGTTGAATGTGAATGAACTGTGTTAGCGAAAACCGTGCTGCGCAGATGCTATGGCGTTGTGGTGTTCTAGATAGTCAATTAGGGCGTCAGCTGTGATTGCCTTCATCAACTTTAAGAGTGCAGGGAGGAGAACCACTGGACAATAGTATGTGGGTTTCGAACGACTGCCAATTTTGAAAATTAGCGCGATTAGACCATGTTAACACATGGTACGCACAATTTGTTTTTCTAAGCCCCTTTGGAATAAATGCGATAATGGTTCGGCCAGCGTTGGTGCTGCTACGTTGGGTGCCATCAGGCGAATGCCATCGATTCCGAGAGAACTGTAGATTGGCAGTGAGAGCAGTTTCTTCGACACAGATGCGACAGTAAAAGCGATGGTATAAAGTGCTGAAATTGGGGCTATAGTTGTGGATATCTAACAAGCGCGGATGCCTTGTTGGAAATTCGGGGCATACTGTATCCGTAGAGCATTGGCTGCTTCTCTAATGCGCTGTGCTACTCCGACTGTCGTGTCCAGTAAGATATTGTGCTTCACGTTGCGAAGTATAGTAACATCTTTATATGGGGGTTTTCTTGTTTTGCGACGGCTGTTCAGCCGCAGCCGAGGTGTAAGCTACCAGGCGGATCCCCAAGTTGCGGAGATAACTGTGAATAAATCACACATGCTTTGCATTGAGATGATCAAGCAGTAGTGCTGGATGACGTGGTGGATTTTCGCTTGGCAAGTGTTCTCCCTATAAAAGCCACATAGGAAGCATGAAAGCATTGTGACGTGGCGGAATTGATTCGTCAATCAATGAAGTCATTGCCCACGGGACGAGATTGTTGGGTCCCTGATATGGCTCAGCCATCGGAAACGCGTATGAACCGAGCGATCGGTAACCGGATCCCAAAGCGTGCGATTCCATCATATCGCCCCACTGTCATGTGGGTTAAGTCTTTTGGTCAAAGGCTTGGGATCACGGTCCCCTAAGAAAACCCCTATTTCGGTCTAGGCAACCCGGTAGTATTTCGCCTACTGAGGAACCATAGAACAAAATTGAACTAAACATGCTTGCCCTGCTAATGTTTTGCTCTTCTGTTACTGCTACTATTATTTTTCAATCACATGCCACCTATATTCCCTCTGAATCATCCTCCGCCGCAATCGTATGACTTCACACCGATGAACAGCATCGCGCAATCTGATGAAACTGCCGCTATACCAATCACACAGCACCAAACCGGGATAAGACAATCCCCAGCAATCCTTTCTCCGCTTCTCTAACACAAATCACAGTTCAATTGGGGAGCGCTTCATGTGTGTAACCTAATGCAGATTGGACAACAACCGGTCTCGGGTGCACCCTGGTATCGCTTTCTTCAATACATGTCTGTTGCTGATCTTAAACCAGAATACAGTATTTCAACACGATCTACTGTCTTAACCAATACACCCGTTTTCTTCTTCGTATTTCTGGTGAAGCCGAGTCCACTGCACCCTGGCAAGCTGGTGTTGTGATTGCATTTTGTGCCATAGCCGAAGCCACCTATTTTGAATGAATTTCCCTCAACAGCCGCCTCTGCGCTGAGATTCCAAGGTTAGTCCAAAGTTAACAAGTGGCGAGAAGACAAACGCACACTTTCCGTTATCTCCGCCTATGCGTCCAATGACTGTAGCCCGGATACAGTCAAAGACCTGTACTACCTACTTCTAAGGGCCCAAAACGGTCATCAATGTCATAGCGGGGGATTTCATCGCGCGTGCGACGGTATGCATGCGTTCCGTTGGCTCGCCTAGGATTAAACAAATTCATTTGAACTGACAAATTGGAAGACCTCACTGCTCAAGTGGAATATCAACGGAGGCTCTGTAACAATCCCACTTCCCCTTCCTTCGGACATTGACCAGCAGTGGCTATGTTTACAACAGATCATATTTCTGCGGATCTGTCTACCTGTGGTCTTGTTCGTTCAACAGCTAAAAGTCGGATCTCGGCGACATCGTCGGCACTACTTGAACGTGAACCGTCTAATCCCGTCGGTGTGGAGCACAATGAACTCTGACGGACCATTTCTCAACAAGAAAAAGCAAGTTCCTGCCGTGAATCCAAGTCGTCAAAACAAGCCGCGGAAATGGAAGCTGCTGCCGTTGCTGGGAACACATGCAGAGTATAATATCTCAGCAGAACCACTGGATGCAAATCACATGCCATTAGTAAGACAACCTGCGCATCAGATGGCACGAAGATCACTAACCTAAGCAATCGTCTGGATCGCTGAGCACAGCACTTTGCTCCTCAGTTTAATTATCCCACTGAATCACCGGTGA